CTAGAATGATGTGTGAAAAGTTTTAAGAAAATCAGTCCAGATTTAGATATAGCTCCAAAATATAGCTTCGCCCGATTTTAGGTAAATAGTCCAACTAAAGTCCCTGGAAATCTATTGACATGCACGAAGTTTTGCACAGCGTAATGAATAAGGTCTAGAATGATGTCTGCCAAGTTTCGTGAAAATCGGTTCAGATTTAGATACAGCTCCCATATATATCTTCGCCCGATTTTAGGTAAATAGTCCAACTAAAGTCCCTGGAAATCTATTGACGTGCACGAAATTTTGCACAGCGTAATGAATAAGGTCTAGAATGATGTCTGCCAAGTTTCGTGAAAATCGGTTCAGATTTGGATACAGCTCCCATATATATCTTCGTCCGATTTAAGGTAAATTGTGTACCAAAGTCTCTATATATCTTTTGATTTGCACGATAGCTAGGCCGATTGACACATCATACTGATGTAATATAAATTAGTCTCTGGCAAGTTTCTCTGAAATCGGTTCAGATATAGATATATAATAAAATCGCGTCGTCTGTTATAATACATATGTAGAATATAATCAAAGTGGTGAAAGGTATCGTATAGTCGGCTCAGTCCGACTTTACTACTTTCCTTACTGGTTCTTCCTGTGGGGGAGATGCAGCTATTCTGTTCTGTATATTAAAGAATATTTTTTCAAGGACCAAACAAGCAGTGGATTTTTTAAAGAATATTTTTCCAATGACCAAACAAGGCGTTGATTTTTTAAAGAATATTTTTGAAGGACCAATATAGGTGTGGTTTGACAAAAATTATTTGTTCAACTATTAGACAATACCGAAAAAAATATTTTTAATATTCTGTTCTCCCTTTCACTTGTTTTATATAATTTTCGAAAAATTTTATTCAGCTTTAGTCTTCTCTTTTGATATGAAAATAAATTAATACCTTATATGAGATTTTTTTCAAATATATTTATATTCCAACACAATTGATACTGTATGATGTATGTTTTTACTAAACATGGTCATGCTATCTCATACAGGGTACAACAATAATATCTCTCAATCATTATCATCATCTCGTACCACTTCAAGTAAAATCTCCACAATCACAACAATTTGTAATACCGCAAACCTCAACCAACATTCAACGCACCCTGTTGTAACGTTTGATCGATTATTTCGATTAAAAATAGTTCATTTGCATTTTAAATTAGTTTTGTTGCTATTTTGTTGTTTCTGTTTTTGTGTTGTTTTAATTTTGATGTGAGCAAATTTGTATTTTTTTCGCTCCATTCATGTGCATTGTTATTGTTGTTGTTATTAGTGTAGGGCTACCTACTCTTAGCTGTAGTTGTAGTATAGCAAAGAGAAACACTGACCTTTACCATTAGTCGTATTAAATGAGTATGCTAATGCCACTCAAACTACAACAGCAACACCAACTAGCACTGTTGGTGCTGCTACTGCTGTTACACTGATATTAAATAATTCATTAGTTTTCTTAACAAGAATTATTTTTTAAAATTTTGTTATATATGTATGTACAGAGGAGCATGGTAGTAAAGGTTTGGAAGGTGGTAAAAAATATTTGAATTTTATTGGAATTTAAAATGTTTTCATTTAAAACATACTAGTTATGCAGTAGTATGATTTGGTATGGATGGAATTTGGATATTGTGGTAAGTAGTTTTTTGGTGTCAGTTATAATTGTGTTCTACTGTATATGTATGATAGTAGTTTGAATGGGTGTTTAGTTATATAATAAAGTATACATTGGAGAGTAATATATCGTTGAGTTAAATTAAAATCATGAACGAAAAAGAAATTCAACTTTAAACATTCAATTTTAGAAATATTTCCCAATAATTTCTTGGCAATCTGGTGAGAGTATTGAAAGGAAATGTTATCAGATTTATTTCAATAAAACTATATTTTAAGAAACGCATTATAATCGAATGTCGTTAACGAATGTCGTTTAAAAAGGAATTAGTTATAAATATAATATTTTCTGACTTTTTAAAACGCTTATAAATGTACCGTTTATAACAAAATATCGGTTATAAAGAAGAAACTTAAAAATATTTTTTCACTATCGCAACGACAACAGAAAAACGGACATTTGTATATAGACGAAGAACTTAGACCGTAAGAAGTGCATGTAACTGAGCCCTTGTAGTGTTTGTAGGTCTGTCGAAACCAACTCGTCAAAAACTAATTGAACTTTTCGACCCATTGAAATTAACCCATTAGAACACCTTACAATTTAGTTCTTTGTCCGTCGAATCTCTAATAGTGTCCTTAGCCGTCGAAAATATTTAGGTATTCAAGAAGGGGAGTACTTACCAAGGATGCAAATTGTAAAAACGAAATATTTTATCCAAATGTATCAGCTTTGGTCGATCAAGATTATTAACTGGGACAGAAGCTCGTCATACAGAATGTTTAATAAGGTATTTGTATACTAGAAAATTAGCCCTACCAAGGTTTATTCATAAGGTTCGAAGCTTTCTTTGACTGTCAAATTTATTATTTGAAGAATAAATTACTATCATTACGTTTTTTGAAAGATATTTTGAGTTGGCATCCTGTTCTTGTATTTCGCGATTAAAATGTTGACAGCAAAAGATAACTGAGCTATGAACTCGCCACCCGGTAGACCTTATTTAATAGGCCATGAGCCTATATGGCGCTGGAAATTTGGTTTAGGGTTGTTTTATATAAAAGCCAGTAAGGAAAGTAGTAAAGTCGGACGGGACCCATTATATGATACCCTTCACCACTATGAGTACATTGAACAGATGCGTCCTAACAGCGTAATTCTACAAAACACAACTAATGCTCAAATTTTGCAAAATTTCATGTCAATCTGACAAACATGAGGAGTTTAATGCATCATTTACTTAAAATCGGACGAAAATATATATGGAAGCTAAATCCAAATATTAACCGATTTCAACAAAACTTTTCACAAGTTAGGTTATATTAATTTCAGTACGTTTTGTTCCTTTCAGCCATATATTTTGTCTTTGGTGCGCCATTTGCTTAAAATCGATCGATAATATATAAGGGAGCTATATCTAAATCTCAACCAATTTTCACGAAACGAAACTAAATTCAGTACGCTATGCAATATAAGAACTTTGGTGCACCATTTACATTAAATCGGACGAAACTATATATGGGAGCTATATCCAAATCTGAACCGATTTTCAAGAACTTTTACATACATCATTCTAGACTCAATTTAGTACGGTATGTCAATTTAGTACGGTATGCATAGAATCACTTTCTAAGTCGATTTATGCAAACAAAGTACAGGTCGCATTTATGATTTGAATTGGGGGAAATTTGGCATAGCTCATCTATTTAGCCCAAGGACGAACCCTATTGAAATTGGGAAAAATCGGTTCAGATTTAGATATAGCTCCCATATATATTTTCGCCCGATTTTAGGTAAATGGTGCACCAAAGTCAATGAAAATCATTCGATTTGCACGAAGTTTCGCATAGCGTATTGAATTAAGTCTTGAATGACGTGTGCTAAGTTTCGTGAAAATCGGATTATAAATGCGACCTGTACTTTGTTTACAATTTTACATCAACAGACGGACGGACATCCATAAATCGACTCAGAAGGTGATTTTATGCACATTCTCAAAAGGGACCATGTGTTTATCTCGTTTCATTTTGCCTGATACAAACATATGCACAAAGACAATACCCTGTACCACAGTGCGGAGAAGGGTATAAAAATGGAACCACAACGAAACGCGTTTTTCACTTGCCAATAACCCGAAATGTCAATTTTCAGCGACTTCGGTTAGAAATGCAACTTAAACCTTCAAAATGGCGAAAATGGGGCGGTACTGTATATTAAATATGATATTAACTAATTTGACATATATATTATTGATCGAAATCGATGTAGCAAGGTCCGTTCGTCGGTTAAGATCACGACATAGCTCGCAATATACAAAATAAATTTGCACATACATTGCTACATGCATATGTACATAGGGTGATTTTTTAGGGTATATAATGGTAACAAATCAACCGGTAAATTTAAGCTTTTGGGTTCGTTTTTTAACCTAATCAGCTGTAATTTAGTATTTTGGATTTTCACTGAGTAGTTCCTACTAACATGTAACCCATATAACGTTACCCCTAATTTTCCGTATTTTGAAGCTTTTGGGAACCTATATGCCGCCTGTTTCTGTGTAGCCCGCTATAACGGGGTTTAAACTTAATCAGTTGAAATTTTAGGTGTTTACTAGGTAGAAAATCATGTTGCTAAAAATAATCAATATTGGTCGTTTTCCAGCAAATCGAGTCTAGAGAGTCCCCGCCTAAAATAGCTCAATTTCTACCTGTTCCACAGAAACCGGTTCTCAAACTCACCCGCTAAAATATGTCATTGACATTGGCAATTTTGTTGACTTTGCCTACAAAAATACAATTTTTGCACAATTGCAAATAGATCGCAATCTAAATACAACATAAACACTTATAAACCGGCTATAACTTAGTTATCTTGTCACGATTGTTATTTGTGCTCACACTCAGACAATAATACGATGACGACCACACCATCATACAAATCTTTTTATTTTACATCATAAACAAGCTATCAAACATTTGTGGCAGCAGAACAAAAACAAAACGACAACAAAAAAAGCTGTCAGACAAGAATTTCCATAATACGCTCTCTTCAATCGCTCACTTACAAGTAATAATAGTGGACCTGACAAAATTGCATTCCCGCTCTGGCAAACCCGCACAACATTAAACGATCAATTACATACAAGAAGTGGGGAAGTAAGAACAACAAAACCAACTACTACTTAAATATAAGTAAATGTTTCGAATCGAACAAAAATCTCGTTTACAAAACAAAACAACTGCACGGGTGTTAATAACAACTACGAGACAAAAATTTCCGCGCCAATACAAATCCGACCAGCTGCGGAACAACAAGTCGCCAGTGAAAAAAAAATCACCGCCACGAACAAAAATGCAGTTCTCCGATGGCAAACATTCACGACCGTCGTCGTCATCTTCCTCAACAACGGATGCTGTCGATAATGCAATGATAAGTGGCCATCATCATCAAGGAGAAGGCATGGCGGGCCAGTCCATGGATAATCACAATGCAGCTGCAAGTTACATAGCTTTGGAGCCAAAAGGTTCTGCGCCCAGTGCCTGGGATTATAATGAAATTTTAAATATTTTGGGTGTGTACCTTCACAACAACTTGAAGGTGACCCACTTTCTTTAAAATGACTTTTTCTTCATCTTCAAGGTTTTGGTAAATTCAATTGGCTGATGCTGCTCAACAGCGGTCTACTGACGATCACCTCAATGGCAGCCCAGTTGGCCGTGGGTATTATTGGCATTTCATCGCAATGTGAATTTAATATGACTCAGAGTGAAAAGGGTGTCATGATGGCGGCGTGTGTTACAGGTGAGTGGGATTTAGTTAAGTGTTTTTTATATTTTTAGAATCTCTAAAAAAGTGTGAATCCCTTATAAATAATTTATGTGAGATAATTAGTAAGTGGAAAAAATCCCTTTGTTGTGTAGTGAATCAGATGATAAAAAATTTATAAAATCATGGGCGGACATTGGGTAATTATACTCAGGACAACTGTTATAAGATTGTGTTACTGTCAACGCCAAGGAGGCGTGGATTTATAAAATTAAAGGAGGCGTGGAATTTTTAATTAATAATTTTTTTCAAGGAGCATACAAGGCGTGGCTTTATAAAATTAAAGGAGGCGTGGAATTTTTAAAGAATATTTTTTTCAAGGGGAATAGAAAGCGTGGATTTAATTTTTAAAATAATATTTTTTAAAGGAGCATACAAGGCGTGAATTTAAAAAAAAATCAAAAAGGCGTGGAATTTTTAAGATAGACTAAAAAAAATTCAGAAACATTCAAGGAAGGGATTTTTTAAAGATTTTTTTTAAATCTGTACCTAGCGTTATGTTTTAAAAATGTATTTATTAAAAAATATGAAAATAATTATTTAAAAATCAACCCTTAAACTTTACGTCGAAGAATATATTTCTATTGTTAATCGACACCTAATGGTAGACCTCAAAAATATCTTTTAAACCAGTAAATAAAGATCAAAAGTCAGACGGAACCGACTATATGATACCCCTATATATAAAAGACATTGCATCTTTGGAAGATCATTGTGAAAATTGTGATCTACATAGGTATTTGAACCAATAAAAACCATACACATATCATTCTGAAATCTATGAAAAATGTCACGTCAATCAGGCAGATTTGAATTTTTTGGTGCAATTTGTATGAAATCCAGAAAAAAAATAAGTGGGACGGAAATATATATGGGAGCTATATCTAAATCTGAACCGATTTCAATAAACCATTATAGACATCAACGTGAACATAATTCAGTATACTGTGCAAAATGTTGTCATAATCGAACAAATATTGGGAGTATGGTGCATCATGTACCTAAAATCGGGCAAAACTATGTATGGGAGCCATATATAAATCGGAAGGGGTTTTAACAAAACAAAACATATCGACGCCTCCGAACCATAGTATGCTAAGTCGACTTAGCATGTTTTAAAGTTATTTACGTTTTTAGATACTACGGCCCTTAATTTATATTCTCTGAAATTTTGGTAATCATCGGCCAATCCAAACCAAATTTATAAGCAAAAATGTACTTACCATGGCCCTTAAGATATATGAAACTTCCATACTTTGAGAGCTTCTACTGAAAAACTCACTTTTCAGACTTAGCATACTATGGTTCGGAGGCGTCGATATATCAAACTGGACTTAATTTAGTACGCTATGCAAAATTATGTCTCAATCGGACAAATATTGGCAGTTTGGTGCACCATTTAACTAAAATCGGACAAAAATTACATATGAGAGCTATATCACAATCTGAACCGAGTTCAACAAAATTCCGCACACATCAAACTGGACTTAATCTAGAACGCTGTGCAAATTTTTGTCTCAATCGGACAAACTTTGCGAGTTTGGTGCAGTATTCACCTTAAATCGGACGAAAATATATATGGGAGCTATATCTAAATCTGGACCGATTCTCTTCAATTTCAATAGGGTTCGTCCTTGGGCCAAACACATGGGCTGCGCCAAATTTCATCCAAATCCACCACATTGTGGTACAGGGTATTATATCTTTGTGCATTTGTTTGTAACAGGCAAAAGGAAACGAGATAGACACATGGTTACTTTTGAGAATATGCATAGAATCACTATCTGAGTCGATTTATGCATGTCCGTCAGCCCGTCCGACCGCCTGTCCGTCTGCAGATGATAAATTGTAAACAAAGTACAGGTCACATTTATGATCCGATTCAGATAAAATTTAGCACAAGTCACTTATTTGGCCTAAGGACGAACCCTATTGAAATTCAAGAAAATCGGTTCAGATTTAGATATAGCTCCCATATATATTTTCGTCCGATTTAAGGTAAATCATGCACCAAAGTCTTTATTTGTCTTTCGATTTGCACGAAATTTGGCTCAGAGTACTGAATTAGGTCCAGAATGATGTGTGCCAAGTTTTGAAAAAATCGGCTCAGATTTAGATATAGCTCCCATACACATTTTCGACCGATTTAAGGTAATTGGGGCACCAAAGTCACTAAATATACTTCGATTTGTACGAAATTTGGCATAGAGCACTGACTTGGGTCCAGAATTAAGTTTCCTGAAAATCGGCCAAGATTTAGATATAGCTCCCATATATACATTTTCGTCCGATTTAATGTAAATGGTGCACCAAAGTCCCTATATATCTTTCGATTTGCACGAAATTTGTCATAGCGTAATTAATTAGGTGTAGAATGATGTGTGTTAAGTTTCCTCCTCGGTCCAGATTAAGATATAGCTCCCATAAATATTTTCTTCCGATTTTATGTAAATGGTGCACTACAGTCCCTATATATCTTCTGATTTTCACGAAATTTGGTATAGCGTAATGAGTTTGGTCTAGAATGATGTGTGTTAAGTTTTCTGAAAATCGGTCCAGATTTAGATATAGATCCCATATATATTTTCGTCCGATTTTAGGTAAATAGTGCACCAAAGTCCCTATATATCTTTCGATGATGTGTGTTAATGTTCTGAAAATCAGTCCATATTTAGATATAGTTCCCATATATATTTTCGTCCGATTTAACATAAATGGTGCCAAAACTTCTAATATTTGTCCGATTAACACAAAATTTTGCACAACGTATCAAATTGAGACTTGAATGACCACTCTCAATCTGCCCGAATGAAATTAAATTTATGATAGGTTGCAGAAAGACATGATTATGTTCCTTCGAGGCAACATTGAAAAAAAAATTGCAAGGATACATATGTATAAATACCCAAAGTGGTGAAGGGTATCATATAGTCGGCCCCGTCCGACTTTTGAACTTTCCTTACTGGTTTTATTACGGTGGTAGACGACAAAAATATTTTTGTAACAATCCACGCCTAACAGTAGAATTCATAAAGTATTTTTTTTTTTTAAGAATCCAGGACTAACTTTCCTAAGTGACTACTTATAGAAGATACAAAAACTTGAAGCACAATTATTTTATTTTAGTTTAAATTTTAATTAAATTATTTTATTGTCACTTTATTCTTTTTAAATAGCTAATTGACAATTTTCTCACATAATTTAATCATCATAAATTAGTTTTGTTACCTAAAAGTTGTGTCTACTTATATTATTCTAGGAAATTATTGCGTCATAAATTACAACAAGTTGAGCACATGTCAATATGTTGTTGATATATATTATTCCGTTCTTGCTGAAAACCTCAACAACAACATTTCTATAAAACTCGTTTTCAAACACCTGTCTGCTAGAACATAACCCAGTCAATGGCATTCAATAATTGTCCAGTTAATTGTCGATAATCGGTTATGAAATGGTTTTGAAATGAATTTGAATGGTCTTAAGGTGCTATTAGTTTATAATAAATTGAATAATAAAAATATATCAAAGATTTTTAACCAGTAAGGAAAGTAGTAAAGTCGGACGGGGCCGACTATATGATACCCTTCACCACTTTGAGTATATTCAAGAAATGAATCCTAACAGAAGTCGTATGTGTCAGTCTCGTTTCCTACTGCCTGCTACAAACATATGCGCAAAAACATAATATCCTGTGCCAGAAAAAAAATTGGTTCAAGAACCTCAAAACCTGGGGGCTACCAGAAAAAATTGACCACTATTTATAGTGTAGAGATGTGCTACCTAATAAGAACTCGACGTACTAAATTAAGTCAATTTGGTTGAAAAATACGATCAGAACCCCCAAAATACCAAAAATTTGGGGTACCGTTATATGGGGACTACCAGAAAAACTAGACCTATATTTATAATTTTTAGTGGAGTAATTTGGTACCCAATAAGAACCCAATGTACAAAATTTCAGAGAATTCAGTTATAAAACAAGCCCAAGAACCCGAAAATACCGAAAATGTGGGGTACCCTTATATGGGGGCTATCCGAAAAAATTGACATTTACTTTTAATTTTTGGTAAGGAGATTTGCTACCCAATGAGAACACAAAGTACCAAATTTCAGCAAATTCGGTCGAAAAATGCTATCAAAACCCCCAAAATACCGAAAATTGGGGGTAATCTTATATGGGGGCTATCCGAAAAAATGGACCTTTATTTATAATTTTTGGTAGGGATATTTGCTACCCAATAAGAACTCAATGTACCAAATTTCAGCGAATTCAGTTAAAAAACGCGCTCAAGAACCTCAAAATACCGAAAATTTGGGGGTACCCTTATATGGGGGCTATCCGAAAAAATTGACCTTTGTTTATAATTTTTGGTAGAGAGATTTGCTACCCAATAAGAACTCAAAGTACCAAATTTCAGCGAATTCAGTTAAAAAACGCGCTCAAGAACCTCAAAATACCGAAAATTTTGGGGTACCCTTATATGGGAGCTATGCCTAAACGTGGACCGATTTTCTCCAATTTCAATAGGTTTCGTCCTTGGGCCAATTAAGTGACCTGTGCCAAATTTCATCCAAATCGGATCATAAATGTGACCTGTACTTTGTTAACAAAAATACATGGACGGACGGACGGACGGACGGACAGACGGACGGACAGACGGACATGCATAAATCGACTCAGAAAGTGATTCTATGCATATTCTCAAAAGGAACCATGTGTCTATCTCGTTTCCTTTTGCCTGTTACAAACATATGCACAAATACATAATACCCTGTACCACAGTGTGGTGAAGGGTATAAAAAGGCGTAGATTTTTAAATATTTTTTTTTCAGGGGTCTAACAAAGGCGTAGATGTGTTAAATACATTTTTCAGGGTCTTACAAAGGCGTAGTGTTTTGAAATAATTTTTTTTCAGATCCTACAAAGGTGTAGTGTTTTTAATTATTTTTTAGGGGCCTTACAAATGCGTATAATTTTATTTTTTGTTAATTTCCATTATAGGAATTGTCCTCTCCACATATCTTTGCGGTTATGTCTGCGACATTTTAGGGCGTCGCACAGTCCTAATGTGGGCCATGTTTATAACAAACGTCCTCCAATTAATATCGATGTTTGTCTCCAACATATGGGTATTTAATTTTGTAAATTTCCTTATGGGCATCAGGTAAGTGACAGAGATAAATTCCGTTTGCATGTCGCAAAGGAAGAAAATCTCCGAAAAAAGGACCCAGGAAAAATAATTTATTATCTCTCTCGTTTTTATAGTTTGGGTGGTGTCTCCTCTGGGCTGTATCCCTACTTGGGTGAATTTACCAGTAACAAATATCGAGCAGTGGCCATAAATTATTCCACAATGTTTGTAAGCGTAACGGCCATTTATGTGCCTGGTAAGTAAAAAAGAAGAAGCATAAAGGATAATCAACAAAAAATAAAATAAAAAGGAATTTAATAAATTTTATTGGTATGTGACCATTACCCCTGTTTCCCATTTCTCTCTCTCTCTCTTTGTCTTTTCTCCCAAAATTTTATTTATTTCAGCAATTTCATGGTGGGTATTGTCTGCCGACTGGTCATGGGAAATATCCTCCAGTCTGACATTTCGCCCATGGCGTTTAATTATATTGTTAAGTATGTTGCCGGGATTTATTGCTGCTCTAATGTTGGTGGTATTTCCGGAAAGTCCTCTGTTTTTAATGGCTCAGGGTAGGCATGCTGAGGCGGTAAAGGCATTGAATTACGTCTCAAAACTCAATACTGGATTGGACTTAGAAATGGTACTGAAGACTCCAAATGTTGTACTGAAACCTGAAGAAATTTCAGATGCAGCTTTGGTCTCAGGCACTGGGGGTTGTAGTTTTATATCGAACATTTGGAAGGCCACCCTGCCATTGTTCCACAAACCCCATGGCATAAATGTTATCCTGGCCGTTTGTGCCATGTTTGGTATGTTGTTTTCATCGAATGGTATGCAAATTTGGTTCCCGGAAATTGTAAATAGGTCAGCGGGTGGGGTACAGAATGTCAGCTCTACAATATGTGCGAAGTTGGAAGACTCATATGCCAGGGATCATATGGCCGCCATGGATGCCACAAATATTGGGGAGACGGTAAGTTATCGATCCTCAAACTATTTGGAAAAAAATTAAAAAAAAAATAATTTTTAGGCC